GCATCTTATACGTCTGTTATACAAGAGGAGATACGTGACAAATATGTATAAATGTTAATTCCTTTTTTTCATACTCCTACGCAGTCATATTATACTGTATATACATTCTTTCACTTCTCATGCTTTCATTCTTCTTTACCTTCTGTCTGTATGGAGTCTTTAAACTAAAGGGGTTGTTTAAATATCATTCTTTTTCACTTAAGTCTAACATGATTTTTTGTTTCTTTCTTAGAAATACGAAACTGCTTTTATTTATGTTTACTATGAATATAAGTACTTAAATAATTTATCATTTTGGTATATTTATATATGTAAATTATTATGGTATATTTCTTTAATGGTAATGGGTTTAATTTAGAGTACATTACTGATTTTATATTATAATTGTATTTTTTTAATCTACCAGTTCAATTCGTACAAAGTTTGATTTAGAAATACATAAAAACATGTAAATTATTAATTCATACATATAGTGCTTATGGATGCCTAAACACACTGACTGTTCTTACTATTGGCAAATAAAATTTTTTTTTTTGATCTATTACAAATTAATAGTTTATTTCAAGTGGAAGCGACTCGCGACTAAATAGACGATAACACAGAGACTTTTATGTAATACTAATTCGTATACAGATATTTTTCATAGATCACGCATACTGTAAACGCATATATTTTCATTGTATTCTTTTCTACAATGAATTGCATCGAATATGTTAATTCTTTTGACCTGATTTAGTTCAAACATGAAAAGCTCACACACCTACGTTTTATTTGTTACTTTCCTGATTAATAACTTAACTTAATTTTATTTAAATTTGTTATATAAGTTTTTTAGGGTTATGAATTATTTCAGTTACAGTTTTAGGCTGTAACTTTTTTTTTAAAATAAGTAATTTTAAAATATTAAATATCACTTATAATCTATTATATATTAAAATTTGCTTGTTAGACAATAATTATTTATAATTAAAAAAAAACTAATAAATAAACCAAAATATACTAAAATATTAATTTTGATATATATTTTTAATTAATGAATATTATTGTACGATGGGTGAATAAGAGTCGCATAAAAAATATATTCTTATATTTCATTGCATTATATATTAATATAAATAAATAACTAAATTTAGTTGTAATTGTAATTTCAAGATAATAATTATTTTTATTTCTTAAATATATATTAACTTTGTATATAGATTAAAATTATTAAAATATCCTAAAGATCATAGATATGCTAATTGGATATTTGATTTCTTAGTTCATAATCAAATATTATGGCATATAAAATTCTATTTTCTAATATCATTAGTTAACTTTGTAAATAAACCAGTTATAGTTATAAAATTTAGCGGGATTATAGTGACCATTTAAAATGTAATCTCAGTATATATGCACAAAAAGAACAGTGTAAAAATTCAAATAAAATCCATTAAATGATATTAAAAAAAGTCAATTTTTCATATAATTATAAAATTGATCTGTTCATTAAAAATATTTCCACTAATTTCAAGTCTCTAGTATAGATTCGAGGGTTGTCAATATACACTTCTAAGTATTTCCTTCTTTCAGCCTTAAACTTAAACTGCAATTCAAGCCTCTATAATCTTTTGGAACGAAATTTTCTCTCTAATAATAATGATTAGGATTACATACTCGGCTCCCTTTCAGTTGCAGCAATTACTCGGTAACAAGCGCGTGCATAGTTATCTTACCAGGAACAGCAATAATTAATGCAAAGCTTTGTCGTGGGCATTTCTTTAACATGAATGGAGTACTTTCGTTGTAAATTGGGTGGAAAATGTGAGTGCGTGTTGACCGGATACTCGGGGAATGAATCTCATCGAGTACGTGCGACAGAGGAAGTTCGAATTATGAACGCGCGAGCTTTGTATGCAGTTAACCAGTCCGGAAGTTCTCGGATAAAATCCTAATCAATGCGTTAATGCGTGTAAGCTTTTTTTCAAATATTGAGGGCGCATATGTATGTGTTTCTGTTTCATGGATTAGAACTTCGTACGTTTAATATACAATTGAAATTCTAAGGAGTTTTCATCTTTTCTCTTTTCTTTATCATTAACAATGTACTTGTATACAAATAATTAATTTTTTTATATGAAGTATTCTTAGCTAAATTGAAAGTTTTTAAAAACCAAATTTTAAAACTTTTCAATTGAAAAAATAAAAATATCTATTCTCTTAATGAATATGCTACTCATTAGGTAAATTATATAAATAGTGTATAATAAAGTGGAAATAGATTTTTTCATTTTACAAGTGGTTGATGAAATGTATAATTATCCTCATATTAAAGTTGAAAGATACAGTTTAAAAAATTGAATAATTAAATTTATAAAACCCCTCAAAATATCAAGTTATAATTTGTAAAAAAAGGCATATATGAATGAAAGAAAAACTGCATCAGTAATTATGTACATTTACTTTTATAGAAGAATTTTATCTATACTATACGGCACTACTTGATTGTATTTAGAATTTCTTTAATTATAAATAGATTTCAAGAGAGATTCAAAATGTTGTTATACAATCATTACATCTTCCGTTTGTAACGTTCAAATTAGATTATTAAATTACAATGTTAGACTAAATTAATGTAAGATTGAGGCAAAGTTATAAATTAATCAGTCGGTAAAAATCTGAATTTTATTTTAACTTAAGTACTTCAGCATAAATTTGAATAAATTTCGATTTTCATTTTCAATTAATTTAACTTCATATGAGTCGAAATATGATCCTGATATCATAAGTAATATTCTCCAATAAATGCTTGATCATGAAGCTTATATGCAAGCATCCGTCTACGTGCATGTACGGTTAATTGATCATTAACGAGCACAGAGAGAGAGAGAGAGAGAGAGAGAGAGAGAGAGAGAGAGAAATCAGAGGAAATATCGATGACGACTCGAACTTGGTCATTCAAATGTCTGGCGCTGATCGAGTTAAATTCTATTAAAATTGTTTGACCTTTCACTGTCTTTCTTTCATGTCACGTAACGTTTGCATATAATTTTATGAGCACCAACGCACACCGGCAATACCAGTAACAAGATGTTTTAATTTTACTGAAGTGAGAGCATAAAAAGTAGCTCTTCTAGAGACGAACTTCTAGTGAAGTGTATACACGAATTCAAGAGAAAAGACATTTTTACTTGATTCATTTTCATTTTGTGAAATGTTTACAATAGCGTACACTATCATAATATATTTTTCCCTAATCATTAGGATTTACTTGTAATTTGATCCATCGAATGATTTTTTATTAAGTTATGTTTTGTATTTATTAAAATACATTTTAAAAATTAAAATTTTTCATTACAATCTATATAAATATTTGTTATTTTTAAAAAATATTCAATACTTTATAAAACTAAGCACAACTTTGATTATGAAATTAAATTTTAATAGTTTTAATCAGATTATCATATATATATATATATATGTGTTAATATTAGCACATATATGTTAAAATTTTCAAAATGGATCAGTTTATAAAATGTAAATGATGTATTTATGTTAATACGAATGCATCGTTATTTATAAAACAAAATAATTATTAGTTAATAAAAAATGTTTAAAAAGGCTATTCAAGTATAATTTTGTTATTCTTTTACTTAATATAACAAAATATATATCTAGTATTTTTCAGAATTTATACCCAAAAATATATTTATTTTAAAATAAGTCGAATTTATTCAAATATTATTTGAAAACTTATAAATGGCTTTAAGATTGTTTTAAGAAAGATTTATAATCTCTTAAATTAATGAACTGTTAATAAAATGAAGGTATGATTAATTAATCAGTAAAACAAATTAAGTTAGCGGTTATCTTGTAACTTTTATTTAATCTTTCTTTTAATTGATATTTTGGATTATTTATATTAAAATTATTGAGACTCGTTACAATTTATGAGTTAAAAACTATTTAAAAATTATTGATATATTAGAATAGTATTAGTAAATTCATGTAGGATCACTTGTTTGGATATTTACCGAAACTTACGAAAATTTTATTATATTTATTTCATTACATATAATAAATGATTAGTGGTATTATAGTTTATAAAACTATATTAAAATTTATTTATGACATTAATGTAATAAATATCATTTTAGATAACAACCAACTAAGGTAAATTTCAATTAATGTTCATTTATAAAATAAGAGTATAATTAACTATAATAATATATAAATATCTCTAATGAATCTAGTACATGAATCTACAGATATTTATATCAATTAATGCATATAAAAATTTACATATTAATGGATAAACAAGACTTTTAAAAATGAAATCTATTCAGCAATAAATTGAATGAAAATTAATAAATGAAATAAACTCATTCAGTACTTTTATTATTATTCTAATATTATCCAAAACTAAATCTTTTCAGATAGTGGTGGTAAATGTCTATAAATCAATGGAAATTGATATTTCTCACTATCAAAAAATATCGGTATTCTTAATCATAAAACAAAGTATAATAATTATAAATTAAATTTTATAAAAATATAGTTAATTATTAATATAATTATTATATATAATATTAAATCGAATGTTGTTTTTTATATATAGTAAATAAAAACTTAAAATTTATTAAATATGTTAATCATTTATAATCAAGAGCATATAAGTATGTTTATGTTTAAAACAGAATATGAACAATTTTATTATAAGGATATATTGTGATATTGAAAATTTTAAATAAATATATGCATATAAACTGTTTAGTTTTAATAGTTCCTGTATATAATACTAAGAGATTGATTTAACAATTAATATAGTTAATGAAATAATGAACAGTGTTAAATGATTGTTGAAGAATTAAAAATAATTAAATCCTTTATTTTTATATATAATTTGAATAAAATTGTATATCAAATTATAGTTAAATATGAAATTACTTAATCCATTTGGTTTATCATTATAAATTGTACACTTTCACAACATAATAAGTTAAAAGTATACTACTAGTGAACTAAAATTCAATTTCATTTTTCATTTGATAAACTAATATTTACAGTAGGCTTTATATGTTTTGGTTGTATGCATGCACTTACTGAATGGAAATATTTATTCAAATTATAATTCAAATTAATGACACTACAGTAGTAGTGGTAACGATATTTGGTGTGATTTGTTAATTAATTTCTTTCGCAGATAATATCAACGACGCTGGGCTCCATGAGAATTGGTTCTAGGCATCTGTGTACTGCACTGCTTAGAATTTCATCCAACAGAAAATGCACCAAACTAAAGAAATAAAAATCTTTTAGTTTTATCAATCACTATTGATTAGTAGATTTATTTATGGAGTACTATATGGATTCTGTTATTACAATTACTTTTTATTCTTAATTTTTTATTTTAATAAAGGTATGATGAATATTTTTTAAAAATTATATCATATGAATTATTAATTAAATTTAAAAAATCTTATGAATGAATAGTATATTTTTGCTTATATGTAAATAAACTTTAATAAGTACATTCATTACTAATATTTGAACATAAGCTTTTTTAAGCATAGAATGAAAATGAGTCTAATTTCAAATAAATACTTTGAATATAAATCAATATACTTTAGTTAATATACTTTAATATACTATAAAGAAATGACAATTCTTTTATGGAATATGTAATTTATGTAATTAATAATATCATTTTTACATCAGTTAATGAATATGGAATTTATTTTAATTACAGGTTTAAATTAAAAATTTATATTAGGTAGTAGAGTATTTTTGAGTCGCTATTACAATTACACCAAACTTTTCCAATGATTTAGCTTACTTATACTTGAATATATAAAATAAAAAAAAATCACTTCTATTCTTACAATCATAATATAGTAAAAATTTTAATTTGAAACTTACTTTTCATCGCTAACGAATCGCCAAAGATATAATTGAAGATAATGTGTATCTACTTGTATTTGTTGAAGTCCGAATTTACTGAACGTTCGCAGTCTGACACATTCTAGATAAGTCTATAATAATAACGTAAAAGTATTAGACAAAGCACAATCTATAACATAATACATATAGATGTCAGGAAAACGATGATTCGAGATGATGGTTGATTGTTAGAGAAGCATTAATTTTACGATAGTAAGTGAATAACGACAGGCTCATTTTATCATTGAATTATTACTTCTCCAAAAATTATCACCTGCACGCTTAATTCCTCCCCCCCCTCTCTCCCTCACTCTCTTTCTGTCTATATAACTCTCTAACTCTCTAAATTTAATATCCTTCTATATTAAGTGTATATTTAATTATTTTTTATTAAATTAGTCGTTTTATAAATTATAATATATTTTTTAAATTTTGAATATAAAATTAAAGTGATTTTTCTTATTTATAGTTAAATGTATAATATTAATAATAGCTAAATATACTTAAATATATCCTATGATTAAAGATATCTTGATATATATTCATTCGGTTCCAAAGAAAAATAATGTGTAATTATAATTTTTTAAAAGTGTCATTTTTTATTTTACTTTATGGTTTAAACAATTGAACGAATACTTTTTAGAAAATAAAATAAACTTAAATAATGAATAAATCAATTTTTCATGAGCTTACATATATTTGAATTTATGAAATTATATATCGTCAATTAAAAAGATTTTGAAAATTTCTTATGATTTTGTTAACTGGAGAAAATAAAGAATTTTATTTTTTTCGAAATAATTCTATTGACATAAAATTTCGAGTTTTCAAAGGTTATTCCATCATAAATATTGATTTAAATTAAATAAAAGGTCAAAATTAATTTTTAATCTTGAAAATGTTACCATTTTGCAAATTTTAGATAATTTAAATAAATAATTATTTTATGAAATTCTTTCCATTTACAAATATTTTTTGTGTGTAAAATACTATTGTTATAAGATGTAATTCCATTATTAAAATATCTTTACCTTGAGGCTGATTTTGATAATTCCAGTCAAAATTGACATTTTATTAAATTGTACTGATGAAAAAATTTCAATTCGTTCGGAAAAAAGTTTGTGTATGCTGGATACAAATGAAGAGTCTAAATGGCTTGGTGTAAAGGAAGACCAATTTGATCGATACTGATGCCTTGAAACACTAAAATAAGGAATATATTTGATAATTTAATCAATTATTATATAAAAAAGTAAAGAAAATGAAAATATTTATTTAATTATTACAAATGATGTCAATTAATTAATCTTAATTAAATATTTTGATATGTTTTAACAATTATTGAATATAAACGCATATGTAAATATTAATACAAAAGTAATCTCATTTAATAAACTATTTAGAATAGTTTTTTCTTCAATAGTATTCAAATATTCAGTAAAATATTAATGATTTTTCTAATATTTTATAAAAATACTGTTAGTTAGTATATAAAATAATTTAAAAAATAAATTGTTTGTAACCTATGAGTTTTTCTACTACTATCACTACTTCTGTCCATTTGTCCATCGATGTCATCATAGAGTGCAGTGACTTGTAATTCAATTGCAGTTATATCCTCGACAACGCGTTTCATTACTGCTCTAACAGTTCTTGGTTCTATTGTGTGAAGCCAATCACGAGTTTCTATAGATTTTCTTAGCATCTGTGATACTGTCAGTCCTTGTAACCGAACAAAGTGATTTAAAAGTTCTTGAGCAGCTTTTTGAAAATTATCGCAGATCTCCATTTCAGAAGTTACATCACTTTTAGAAGATGCATATTCGTCTACGTTAAATAAGTTATCTGTTGAGCTGAGCTAAATAAAATATTTTATTGTTATATCCTCTAGTTAGTATTATAAAAGAATTATAGACAATAACAAGCTTTAGATTTCTATTAGTTATTTGCTTTGTTTCAATAGAAGTTAAGTTTTTACTTTGCATCTTTCTATTTTACTAATTTCATTTTTATTCTATATTTATAATCTAACATCATCTGTATATCACTTCATATAGTAACAAAAATTTAACTATTTTTATAAAAATTAATAGTTAATTCATATAGGTTTTTTATTTAAAAAAATAAATAAAAATATAAGGTAATTTGCTATACAGAAAACATTAAAAATAGTGTATATTTACATTATTCAACTAAAATAATAAAAATAAAAAGCTTACAAGATAGTGAACATTACTGTCTTTAAATTCAAGGCACATTTTACTTAAGAGTAAGAGTAATGTTGGTGGAAATTTAGGAGCATCTAATCCAGTACAAAATCCATTTGCAATAGCGGTTAAATGATGGAGAAAACCGATTACTAAACCTTCTCGTACTTCATCAATACAAAAACGTTGTAAAAACTGTGGTTTAAGTCCAAACGACAACTCTGGTTGTAAAAAAACCTAAAAAAATAATGTTATCATATAAGTCATATATTATATAGATATAAAGTAAACTAATAACATTATAATTAATAAAAACCGCATTAATATATTTTCTTTTTATTATTTCTTAAATTTTTATAAATAATATATATATATATATATAAATAAATTTTGAAATGTTACTTTAAATATTGTAAATATTTTCTTTTGGTGGTTTGGTAAACATAAATATAAGGTATTAATAAAAGAAGTATTTAAGGGCACAAACCAATAAATCTTGTAAAATTCCTTTTATTTTCTCAATGGTGGGCATTACAAGTAGAGCTTGAAGTTCTGCCAAACCACCATCACCATTCGAAGATACTTTTGATGCTAAAGTTTGTCTTACCTTAGCAAGAGTTTCACTTAAGTATTGTTTTAAAGCAGAGAGATGATTTCGACATTGCTTTCTACCTGCAGTTATAACAATTTCTGTTCCAGTTCTAGAAATATTTTATAAATAATTAATTTGATAAAAACATCTTCATTTTTCTTGATCTTGAAATTTATTTTATGTGTACTGTGTGTGTGTGTGCGCGCATGTGTATGTGCGTATGTATATATTTACCTAGAAAAATCTGTATCTTCAGAAAGTACATTCATAGCCTGAAGTCTTCTATAAAATCGATCTAATGCTCGGACTAAAATCACAGTATCAGCTACATTTTCAACTCTTTTTTTTACAAGATCAAAATATTTTTTCATATTATTCATAATAAATGTATTTAAACGAGAAACAGCTTTTGTATCAAAATCATCACTGAATTCATTTGTATCCAAAGGTGGTCTATTTACAAACATGTCATTATAAGATGCAACAATTAAACATAAATCACTTAAAAAACCAGAACTACCCATATCAACAAATTCAATAATATCATTTTCACACATATCTTTCAAATTTTCAAGTAGTTCTGACAATCGTATATCAGCATGAATTAGAAAGTCAGCACATAATACATCAGTTGGTTCTTTTAATTGAAGCAGCAAATCAATACTTTCTGCTAATAATTTAGTTGAGGCTTCTCTTTTATGAAATTGAGTGCGTAGTTTATCTTTTAATTCATCAACAATTTCTTCACAGTCTTTTTGTATTCCTTGAAAGGAAGGCATATTACCATATTGGTTTAATACTCTTTGTGCATGAATATAATCTTGAACAGCCTTTAAAAATATTTTAAATAATTTATTTCCTAATTATACATTAATATTAACAATACATATACCTGACTATAATTTTCATCTTTTATTCTATCTTTTAATTTATTTGGTAGCTTGAATAAAAATTGCAGTTTTTTTAAAAGACTATGAACTGATGATAATCTGGTTATTTGATGACGACTACTTTGTAACGTTGAAGATATTTGTTCAGAAAAAGAAGTAATGCTATCCATATTTTTTGCCAGCATATCCATTGATTCTTCCATTTGATTGAAATCATATTTCATCTAGTGGAAATAAATATGAACATAATTTAAATAAAATTGTGTACTAATCATAGAAGTATGTAATCATTTTATTATTCTATTTTGTTTTTATGGCAAAATTTAAGTAATTGTAAATAAATAAAAATTACCTTACGAACTGTATCTGTAGCTGATATAAATTTATTGTAGTTCTCATATACAAGAGTTTGCATATCAGAGTGTAAAGTTTGTGTATCATGAATGATTTCTACTTCATGATCCATAATCTGTTTAAGGTTATAATCCTTTAAATTAAAACAAAATTGCAATTTGCAATTTATTAATTTTCGAAAATGTTAATAATTTTAAAAAAATAAAGAAATTTCATTGAATTGTTAACAAACATTATACTTTATACTAACCTTAAATAATTTCTGTAAATATATTTCAGCATCAAAATTTTGTCCATTAAGGTCGTATGGACTGTTACAACTTTCTAATGTCATTTTTAAATTTATTAAATAAATAAATAATTTAATAAAAATATATTATTTGTTTTTATCAATCTGTATTATTTATTATGAAGATTATGGATTTTTTATGGGATTCAGATAATTCTAATGTATATATTTTAAATATTTTTTCTATACTTTAATAATAGAATTTTGACATTAATCACATTTTAAACCGATATTTCAAGTAAACATAGAAAGTCTAATCTTTAATGCTCTTCAACTGATTCCGCTGTAGCAAATTATAATTATAATATAGGAATCGTAAGTATAGAATACAGAACCTAGTGGTTAAATTTTAAACCAATTTATTATTTTAATATGGAATTCCAATTATTGATAAGAGAACTGAAGAATTTATTCGGGATATATAAATAATATTATAGAAAGTTTACAAATTGAAATCAATTCAAGAAATAAAAATTGGACTTTTGTAAATACTTAAAATTGAAAATATATTTAATTTTAAAAAAATATAATTATTATTTAAAAACAATTCTGTACTGCCAGATCGATATTCATTATAATAATAAGTATGTCAAATCTTATTTATATTATAAAAATGAAAATATTTTCAAAAAATAATAATAAAGTTTTATTTTTACCAACTCATAGTAAGTAAAAAATTATTTGAAAAATAGAATTTTTATCATATATATTAATAAATGGATATCAACCATTTTTTATATATTAATTAATTTTTATTTATCTATATTTATTAAATATTTCCAATATTGAATTATTTTGCATATGAACAACATTGACAAATTTATTTCAATCACAAATAAAAGCAATGGTTGTTCCATTCTTCCTACACATTTAGGTTTAATGCAATACTCCTATGTACGTGTAGTACTTATTCTGTTATAAATTTTTTTAGGATTGCAGAAGAATGAAAAATTTCTAATTGATATGGTTCCTATATTGTTAAATATAAATTTTTAATATAAATATTGTTAAATTTAAATATAAAAATAATTGTATATTTAGAAATTTATTGAAATTGAATGCAAATGACATGATACCAATATTAAATATGCTTAAATCAATTTTTATCTTATATAAAATTAATTGATTTATTATTTTATTAATTTCTAATCCTGCATTACATTTTTAGATAATGTAGTCACTTATGTAATTAAAAAATTTTAATAAATTAAAAGTTTATTAAAAACTATTGTTTTTTTTATTTCAAAATGTTTAAATAAATAACAATTACACCTGATATTAAAAAATGAAAAGAAGTGATATAGTTTAAAATTGTTATTTTTTAAAAAAGTATTACTGCCAATTTGGATTATGCGAAGATTAAACAGTTATATTTTAAATTGGAAAGTTTAAGTAGAAAATACATGCAATATGTTGATTGGTTATTGGTAGGAATGACTGATCAATAAAACGTAATTATTTGCATTGAAATATTTTACCAAGAGTAGAAAAATCAATTCAATAATAAATTAATCAATATAAAGATTAGAAAGATTACCTTTTCTGTGCAAATTTAATAATGTTAATATTGAAATAAAATCCTTATTATTAGCTTTAAGCAACAACTGAAAATTCTATAGTGACAATTGTCAATTATTATTGCATATTTTATGTTTAATAAAAAAAGTTACAATAAAAATGGAATCCCTTATTGATTATTTTCGATTAATGAAAGCTAGTATAAACATATTTTAATATATGTTCAATTTAATGCATATATACACATGTATGTATATTTATATATTTTAAATAAATGTATAGGTTATGAAACTACATGTTTGTAGTGTTTACTAGATGAAAATTTCATAGGTGCGACTTATTTCTTTTATTAGTTACGTCTTCAAAAAATATATTTGAAAATTTATAATTTATAAATATATGAATTTCTTTTATTTTCGTAGATGGTTTTGAACAAACTTTAGTATCTTATGTGAATCATTTAATTTTATATATGAATTAAAACTTTTTGTATTTTGTTTAATATTTACTATATTTATTGTTTAAAATTTCAAATAATTTATTAAGAGAAAATCTTACAATCAGTACATTAGAATAATAATCAATATGAATAATAAAGATATAAATATTAATTTTACAATATATAAAATAAGTAACAGTATTGTAATGGTATTACATGTTTTGTATCTTATTCTTTCTGTAGGTTACAATTTTGACTATATTAATTTTTGACAATGAATATATATGGATGAAGAATCTATAATTGATCAATTCTAATTAACTATTTTTCAAGATGCCTCATCCTTGTGTAGTCTGTGGTCGTTCTCGCATGAATCCAAACAACAGAGTGGAAGAATATATATTTTTTGGATTTCCAGTTAATGATGAATCTCGTTGCAAGAAATGGTTGGAATTCTGTTGCAGAGAAGAACTGTATAAATTAACTAAAAAACAATTACTTCAAAGGATGGTTTGCTCTAAACATTTTTTAGTGTCAGATTTTGTAAATGAATTTTATGATCGATTAAATAGTAATGCGGTACCATCTATTTATGATCCCAAACAAAGCTTATATAACATTGGTTGTGTTTTATGTGGTCGTTTTCGAAAAAATCCACCTGGTCCAGAAAATGATAAAGCAACTTTTCATCATTTTCCTGGAGAAGAATTTCGATGTTTGGAATGGTTAGATTTTGTTGGTGTTGATTCTTATTATAGACTTACTAGGAAGGAAATAATGTTTTGTTATATTTGCTCAAAGCATTTTGACAAATCTCAGTTTTTACAAGGATTTCATAATCGATTAATTGACAATGCAATACCAAATATTAAATACCCAGATGAAAATGATGATTATGATGAAGACAGGTGTGATTTTGATCAAGAACTTATAGATTATGTAGAATTATTTAATTCTTGTAATAAAGATAATAAAAAGATAAATCCTTTGCCTTTGGCTATTTTGGGAAGTCAGGCTTGTGCATCTTGTGGACGTGTAAGGAGTGACCCAAAAAATAAAATGCAAAAGTATAAATTTCATCCATTTCCTGCATATGAAATTGGAAGATGTTTAAAATGGTGTCAGTTTTTAGGAAGAGAAGATATTTTAAAAATGTCTCCTAATCAGATTCGACGATTGGTTTTATGTTCAGCACATTTTCAAGCTGGCCAGAATTTCAATAATGGAAATGGACCTTGTGATGCAATTCCCACAATTAAGAAGTGTAATAACGATATTGAAGTTCTAACTATTGTAGATGATACTACAGATATGGAGGGAGAAGGAACTAAAATTGTTAGAGCTTCGGTGTCAAGTAAAAAGCCTAAAATTGATCCACAGAATAAGCCAACTCCTTTAGCAAAAAAACGAGGCAAATCTAAAAGACCAATTTTTATCAATTTACCAAAAATAGATAAAAAATTTGATAATTTTCCTATTAAAAAACTTCCTATTCCAACTGCTAATAATTGGAAATTAATTACTAATCAATTTCAACCAATTACTATATCTAATAATATAGTGAGTAATGTTTCATCTGACATAAAAAAAGTAATTTTACCATTTTCTGGAGATATTACAAATTTAGGTGCTCCAATTCCAGTAAATAGTTTATCAAGTATACCACCAGGATTGTTGATAAAAATCAACTTACCTGAACACAACAAAAATTCTTCAAAATCTATTAAGAAAGCAAGAAGAAAAGTTGTACAGCAGATACAGGATAATTCATTTAAATATGTTAAAGTGGAAGGTGAAGTTAAAAGTGAACTTGAACAAAATAATGATGTTGAAATTGTACCTGATAATAATATTTCAAATATAATCAATTTTCCTGAACCTTCTTCACAAGAAATGATAGAAGCAGATTTAAATATGAGTAGGGATGATATATATATGAATCAATTTGATGAAGCTGATAGAGAAACTGTAGTAGTAAATGAAGAATCATATTTTAATGAATTTGAAGATGAAATGATTATTGAAGAAACACGGCCAAAACTTAGGATGTCAGCTAGATGTCGAAGGACACTTATACCAATTCAATGCGAGTTGCGACGTTTTCTTAATAAGCTTAAACCTCACGTAAGGAGGTTACCAAAAAAATCTAAAGCACAAGTCAAACTTGCCATTGTTAATATGGTAATTGATCGGTTGTGAAATAAAATAAAACTTAATATTAATAGTATGATAATTATGTGGTTGTGAATTATTTTATTAAGATTATTAGCACATAAAAAATATTTTGAAAATTAACTATTGATCTTTAAAGATAATATTAGAAAATATTAAATATAATTATTTATACATTTTGCATTGCATTTAAAATTCAGCTAAATGTTTTTATAGTAATATATATTAATATTATTTATCTAAAATATTTTTCAGATAATTTATAAATATCTTTAATATAGAACTTTATATTATTAATAAAAATATATATAAATGAGCCTTCGACAAGTCAAATAATAATATTTGCAAATGGTACAAAAGTTAAATTTCGTTTAATAACGAAATAATCATTATATATAATTATTTAAATAGTAAAATAATAATGTTTCATAATAAAAATCTTATATTTTGACATTTGAAGGATCATAATATATATGTATATATATATATATATATATATATATATGTATATAATCTAAATTTATTGAAATTGCTTCTATAAAATTTATTTTCAATTTTATGTGTATAATTATTTAATTAATACATATTTACATTTTCATTCGTGTTTTTATTTATTTCAATCATTTTTCTTTCAATTTAAATAAATAATAGTTCTAATTATAAGTTTTATTAATTATTGTATAGAAGAAACTCTTACTTTTTAACAATAAAGATTTCAATATTTAACTTTTAAGGTTTATATAAAATTTATAAAAATTTGTCATTAAATTTTATTGAATATCTCTACACTACATATATCTAAATTATTATTTACATATAAATAATAAGTTAAAAAACTTTATGGTTTAAATATTTGTTATCCATAATTTTATATTACAATTAATAAGTAATTCATGTAATTACATGTTGAGGTAATTAAACAATTTATTATTTATTTCAATATTTTAATGCTGTAATCATTCTATTTTTTTACAATTTGAATTTGCTTCAAGTATTGTATTACTACTGATATACTGTATTTTATTAAAATAATTTAAAACACATTATAAAGTTAATTTTTATTAGTAATAATATAATCATAATTTTAAGAAACTAATTTGTACATACATATATTATAATTATGTGCTCAAAAAAGCTAATTTACGTACAATATTTACATTTGAGTTGAACTCAATAATTTGCTGTAACAAGTAACTTTGACATAGAAAATAGATACTAAGAAGACACATATAAAAGCTAGTTTGGAGTTTATCAATTCGTTTATAGTCTTGTTATACAAGGTTATTGTACATTTTAGACAAATTAAAAAAAAAAAAATTAAATCTATATTAAGCGTGATAATTTAAATTATGTATATTTGTACAGTCTATATGAACTAAATAGTTAAAATTAAAAAACATATAATTGCGGAATTAATTATGATTATTTAATCGTTTTTTCAATACTTTTATGTAAATATGATTTTTTCATGTTAAATTTATGTGAATTTATAGGCTTAAATTAATAAAAAAAATCATTTTTAAGTAAAGCATGCAGTGTGATTATATATAAAAGAATATTTCTAGAACTAAATCTAACTACGCAGACTTTGCAACCTATTTTTCATGTCTTCAAGTTCTTTATCATCATTGAGTTCGTCAATATCTTCTTCTTTGGATGCAGATGCTCCCAGGGTATCAGTAACAACATCAGGTGCACGTCCCATTTGTCCAGCAGTTACTTCCCATAGAATCTGAATATTAAATAAATTCTGCTTGATTAAATATATACAAAAATAGATACAAAAATATATTTATAATTGAAAAAATTAAAAACGTATAAAATTATATATTAAATTAAATTAATATAATACTTTGTCTACTTCTTCATCTACAGCTTCTTCCATTTCTTCCGAATCTTCAAAAGAATCTAATGTTTCATCCATCATTTCTTCAATTATACCCGCTTTCATCATTTCTTTTGAAAGTTCTCTCATAGTTGCTGCTACTTCAGGTACTTTGATAAGTGCTTGCATTGCCTGCATAACTTCTGTAGATTTTGATACAGAACCTGCGACTCTTATAGTAGCCAGTTGATTTTTCATTTGTAAAGTAACAGAATTTAAATGTGCTTTTGATGTATGTAATTTGTTACATGCATTTCTAGCACGGATAACTTCTTTTGCTAAGATTTTACAAACATCTTTATCACCTTTTTTGGCAGCATCTTTTAAAGATCGTTTTACTTTATCTTCTTCTCTTTGAATTGCTGTAGCAATAGGAAAAACATATTTATATTGTAAAATACATTAAGCAAAATAAGAATATAAGTTTATAAACATTGTTTACATTTCATTGGAATGTACATTAAATTTTATAACAATTTAATTTATTTGTAAATATTAACATTTACTGAATATTTGTCAAAAATGAATTTTGTCAAATTGTTTTAAATCTAGGATCTGACTCACCTCTAACCTGTCTATCAATTTGATTACTTTCTTTGCGTAATTTATGTGTCCATTCATTAACCTACGATTATTAAATATTTAAAAAAGAAGAAAATAAAAGTAAAACTGCAATTCTTGATAAATATTACCATTTCTTTTGGATTTTTATCTTGTGATCGCCCAAAAAGACCCATTTTTGTTAATTTAATGTGATGAATTTTGACAAGCAGACTGCACAGTGCAGACAACTATACAAATATCATAGACTTTATATTAGAGACAGATGGAAAAAATATTGACAATTCTATTTTAAAAACATGGAACGATTTCTATTTTAAAGAATCTAGTTGTTTTTTGCTAAAGTTGTTTTAAGGGTATGCAACCAGCGAGGACATGCTACATATAAACACATTTATTAAATGACATTTGTCAAGTTCTAAATTTAGATTTGGAAGGGATTTACATGTTCATTTATGATATTTTTGGTATGTAGCTAGCGTACACCAATTTTAATAAATAAAGAGACAATGATATCGCATGTAAATAAAATGCAATATTGAAGATATATATAATTTACCATATATATAATATAATTCAATATATAAATAAATTATTAAAATTTAATTCAATTCAAGTTATTCTAGAAATTCAATTCAATTATTTAATTAAAAGTAATGTATAACTAGTCAAAAAATGTAGTATAAAATATATATTGATATAAAATTTATAATTGTTAGTATTATTAATTTTTATTGAACAGTGTCCTATCGATTTTTTACAAAATAAATTTGGAATTTTATAATTTGAAAATAAGAACATATTAAAGTGGTATAGAACTTCAGGTATAATTTAATTACTTATATATTTACGTCATGTTTCAAGCATTATATAAGATTTAGTAAGTATGAAATAAATAGATTTGAGTGCCTTTATTATATATTGAAAGTTGTAAGTAGATGTTAAAAAAATAGGTTCAGAGAGAAAAAAGACTATTAAAAAAGTATAGTTTTTAATTTAAAATATTTTATTTTAATAATAATTTGGGAAAAATAATTTTAACAATAAGTATCTTAATATATTACTGTAAATTTCATACAAAAAATATATAAAATAGTGTTTAGTCTTATTATGTGTATTATAATTGCTATAATTGCTATAATTGTGTATTTCTTATTAGTTATTTTTAAATATATATATTTTTTGTATAGAGTTTTAAATATGCATAAAACAAATAATTATATAAAATAAAAAAGAAATAATAATTAATAATCATCTGTTGTATTCATTAGAAGGTCTTTCATAAAATGTAAAACGTTGTTAAGTGTTTTTGTCCTTCTGCTTACAATCAGATCTTCGTTAGCATAACGTTGGTACTTGTACGGCGGCCCACCATTTTCACTGTTTACATTATTTTGTGGTTGACTCAATTCGCTGAAAAGCGGATTACTCATTTCATAATCAAATTCAGTATCAAAAATGTTATTTTTATTGCTTTTTTTTCCAATACGTATGTTTTGAAATGTTATTTTATTTAGTTTCTGGCCAACTTTATCATTTAATTTGATTTGATTTATGTCATTTTCCAAATTTTCTTGTGGATGCTCATGATTTATTATCTGCGTATTGTTTTCAGTAAATACAACATTGTTATTTATTGGTTTTTTTAAAGCACTTGTAAAAGTTTTTGCTATATTTCTATTAAATATATTGGTCGGATTTATTTGTTCATTGATAAACTCATTTATTGTATAAAATTTTTTATTTTTTGAAGCAATTGAATCGCCAATTACTGAAAAATCTATTTGACTTTGATTCAAATTTGTTTTTGGATTTATTTCTTCATTCGCATCCTTTAATTCTTTGCTTTTCATTTCTAATTTGTTGTTTGTAATTAAATTTGGGATTAAATTGTGAGCTTTGGTTAATGTTTCAGTAAGCCAATCTATTGTAGATTCTTTAACCTTTCCTTGTTGATCGAGTAAATTAAATAGAGGAATAGCTTCATCACTTCTTCTTTCACGTACATTTAATACTTGTTCATTTGTATTGGGAAGATAACATGAACAATTTTCATATATACATTGTTTACATATAGCATCCGATAACATAAGGGCGAATGTACCATCCTCAAGTTTTTTAATTATTATAGGTAGCTTCACTCCATCTCCAATATATATTAGTTTTGATTCTTGTGATTTATCTAAATTTTTTATTTCTGACATTTGATTAGAATTTTCTGGTACAAGTTTTCCAAGATATTTCATATTTTGGGACAGTGACGAATTTACATTGTATTTATTTGTAGGTAAAGGTTGTAAAAGTTTATTTTTAGATACATCTAAAATTTGATTATGGTTAAGTCTATTAGTTGTTTGATTTATATCTATATTATTTTCAATTTTTATATTAGTTTTAGATTCATTATTTTTTGATATTTCATTTTCGGATACCGAGGAATTATTTATTCCAATTAATAGATTTGATGGATGATTATTTATAGTTAATGTAACGGGATTTCTGTGAAAAGTTTGTTGTTCATTTTTATAATTATTTGTGTTTATTGGTTGTCGTTTAAAATTTTCTTTTTCTGTAGCATTTTCTAATTCGTATGGATTAGATTGTAAAATTGATAATTCATAGTCCAGTGTATTTATAGGATGTTCACCTATTTCTGATGAATTATAATTTATTATTACTGTTGGAATTTTTGTAAAACCTTTGCGTGTTACTTTATCGGTGTTATATTTGTCATCATTTCCAATAATTTTTGATACTGCTTTTAAATTCAAATTATCTAAATTTTGATGATTTTTAATATATTCTAGAATTCTATCATTAGGTGTGAAATATTTTATTGGTTTTCTTTCTATTGAAGCATCTGGTTCTGGTAATTCAATATTTCCGATATATTTGTTTTTTATTTTCTCGTTTAAAATTGTATAATTTATTGGTTTTTCTGAAAATTTTTTTAAGATATCAAAATCTTCTTTAGCGCGTTGACTATTAAATTGGTATTTTTGTATTTTATTATTTGTGTCATTTATAAATTGGTCTTCAGGTTTTATTTTCCGAAATTGCAAGTTATTTAATTTTTCTTGTGAAATTCTTCTTTTTTCTTTAAACTCCATGTTTTCATTATTTTGTTTTTTAAATAGATTTTTTGGTAATTCACTTAATCGTCTATTATGTAAGCTGTCTTGATTAATAGTATTTGTCGATTCTACTTTGTAATCAGTGTTATTTAACGAAGTAGTATCTTTTAGGGTTAAAGAATTATTCGTTTTTATATTAGGCGTTTTTTCAGAGGTCATCAAATTCGATGAATTTAGATTTTTGTTAAGAAGAAGCTCAAAAGCCTGTCGAATTGTTGATTCATCTACAGCACCAGTTTCTTTATCCAAAGAATATTTTACTGTTTTTATAATTAAATTTTTTATTACAGGGTCTCTTGCATTTTTTTCTCCAATTGCTGCTTGATTTATAATATTTTGAATTTTATTGAAAATTTGCTTAGGAACATTATTCGAACTTACTAAGTCTTTTGATTTGTCCAATAATGTTACAGTTTCTGTTACCCATTGACCATCTTGATTGACGATTACCGACGCAACAGTTGGATCTGATAAAAAGATTTTGTCGACGATGTTATGCAACATATTTTTAATTACTTGTACGTTATTAGGTGGTGAACCAGTTATTTGAAAAATAAAGTTTTTTGCTGTATCAGCAATCATATCTTCAACTTCTGGAGTGAAAAAAAGATTTTTTAAGTCAGGTGTATTTAAAATTTCTGGAAATACATCTTCCATATTAGTATCGCTAAATTTTAAGCTATTATCTTTTCCATAATTTGCTATTAAATCTTGAGCTTTTCCAGGCACAAAATTATTGATAACTTTTTTAATAACATTTTTAAAAAGTATTTCATTAATATTATCTTTTATTGAAATGTTGTTTTCCTGATTATTATTCAAATTATCATTTATTTCTGTTTTTGTATTTGGATTCATTGTCAACATCATATTATCATTAATATTATTGTAAGCTTGAGTAACATCTTCATTTGATGAAAATGAAGGAAGATCTGAATTTAATATTGTATTATTATTATTATTATTTATAGAGTTATTGTTTGAAGTCTTTTCATAAATTATGTATGGCTTATCATCAACTGATTGTACTAAAGTTTCTATGTTTTCAAATTTTTTCTTTTTATCTACATTGATCATATTTATATCCGGAAAATTTAATTTATTTTCTACTTGTTTTAACTTATTATCGTGTTCAGTTGTTGATCTTCTAGTTTGTCCATAGACTGGTTTTTGCGTAGATTCAGTATTTTTTCTATCTGGATTTATATTTAATTTTATTAACGCATTTCTTTCGTAATTTTTAGAATTATTTTTTTTAAGTAAATTAGAAGTATTGTCAGTTATTAAATTATCTTGTTCGATTTCCTTCAATAAAGTTTTTGTATCATTTGTGGAAAATTTAATTTGTGGTAACTCACCTCTATTTTCGTCATTATTATTTTTAGATTCTATATTTTCATTATTATTAAGACTTTGAATGTTATTAGAGAATTTAAGTTGTGTTTGTTTTTCATTTGAGCTTTTTTTGTTACTTTCGTTTAGGAAAGTACTGTTATCTGTCATAGTAGCTCCGCCATTAATTGTATTCTGTAGATTGTTTAATGCTGGAGATCGTGTAGTAATTCGTTGTTGTGTATTATTGGATTCTAATGGTATTAGTGAATGTACATTATTTATAGAAAAAATAGGTTTAGAATAATTATTACTTAAATTTGTATTATTTACAATAGGTAAACTATCATCAAGATTAGCATTCTGCATAGATGCATGATTATTTTCATTCATTGGATAAGTATTAGTTTTTTTAATATTTTTAACGTTATTTTTAGTTTTATTTTTTATAATTTCTTTTGTAAGGTAATTATTAAAAGTTAAATTGGAATTCGATTTTATTACCTCATCGAATTCATTTGAATGTGAAAATTTGTACTCAGTTTTTGTATTTGTGTAATATTCATCAAGTTTATTATTTTTATCATTTAAATATGATTTTATAGGTACATTATTTAATAAATCTGTTGCCTCAATGTTGTCAGTAGACGTATTTCTTAAAATAATGCAGACAGTATGTCCATAAAGTTTAATACAGTCATCGATATTGTGAAATTTTTTGCCGAAAATACTGGGTGTAAAATTATTAGTATCTTTTAATTGCGAAT